CACAGAGAAATGGTGTATCGGAATGGAGGAATCGTATCTTGTTGGACATGGTTCGATCTATGATGAGCAAGTCGGATTTACCCTTGTCATTCTGGGGATATGCTCTAGAAACTGCAGCTTTCACATTTAACAGGGTACTATCAAAATCTGTAGACAAGACACCACATGAGATGTGGACCGGGAAGAGTCCCAGTTTGTCTTTTCTAAAGATTTGGGGTTGTGAAGCATTTTTGAAGAAACTTATGCCAGACAAGCTTACACCCAAGTCAGATAAATGCATATTCGTGGGATATCCGAGGGAAACCTTGGGATATAGCTTCTACAATCGGGAAGAGAACAAAGTGTTTGTTGCTCGGAACGGGTTTTTTCTTGAGAGAGAGTTTCTCAGTCAGGAGGCTAGTGGGAGGACGGTCCGACTCGAAGAAATTCAAGGACCACTCGGAGACGGCTCGGCTGGTGATGAGGTCATACCGGAGTCAGTCAGGGAACCCGTAGTGGAAGCGGCACCGGAACCACGGAGGTCGGAAAGATTGCGCAGAGTGCGTGATGTATTGCTGCTAGAAAGTGACGAGCCGGCCACGTATGCGCAAGCGATGGTGTGCCCAAATTCCGAGGCATGGCTGGAGGCCATGAGATCCAAGTTAAAGTCCATGGATGAGAATCAAGTCTGGGACTTGGTTGATCCACCGCCTGGCGTAACAGCCATTGGTTGCAAATGGGTCTTTAAGAAGAAAACCGATGTGGATGGAAATGTTCAGATCCACAAAGCTCGGCTTGTCGCTAAGGGCTATGGACAAGTTCAAGGAATTGACTACGACGAGACTTACTCGTCGGTAGCGGTGCTGAAGTCGGTGAGGATCGTACTAGCTATAGCTGCACATTTCGATTACGAGATATGGCAGATGGATGTCAAGACGGCTTTCCTTCATGGAAATTTAACTGAGGACGTGTATATGATACAACCCGAGGGTTTTGTCGATCCGACTAGCACTAGTAAGGTATGCAAGCTCAAGAGATCCATTTATGGGTTGAGGCAAGCATCTCGGAGCTGGAACATTCGTTTTGATGAGGTCGTCACTGGTTTCGGCTTCATCAAAAGAGAAGAGGACTCTTGTTTATACAATAAGTTAAGTGGGAGCTCGACAGTGTTTTTGATCTTGCATGTGGATGACATATTACTGATCGGAAATGATATTTTGATGCTAAACTCGGTCAAGGAGTCATTGAACGACAAGTTTTCGATGAAGGACCTTGGTGAGGCAATGTACATTTTAGGCATTAAGATCTATAGAGATAGATAAAGGAGGCTGCTCTGCTTAAGCCAGAGCATGTACATAGATAAAGTGTTGAAGCGGTTCAACATGAGTGAGGCAAAGAAAGGGTTCTTGCCACTCTCACATGGTATAAGGCTAAGCGAGACTTAGAGTCCTTCGACATCTGATGAGCGAAGCAGGATGAGTAGGATTCCGTATGCCTCAACAATCGGATCCATCATGTATGCCATGATATGTACGCGGCCCGATGTTGCTTTTGCAATAAGCCTAACAAGTAGATACTAGGCCAACCCAGGTGAGAGTCACTGGGCAGCGGTAAAGACTATTTTGAAGTACCTGAAAAGGACTAAAGAGATGTTCCTAGTTTATGGAGGTGAGGAAGAGCTCGTCGTAAGGGGTTATGCCGATGCTAGTTTCCAAACCGGCAGAGATGATTGTCGATCACAGTCCGGATTCGTGTACGTCATGAACGGAGGAGCAGTGAGCTGGATGAGTTCCAAGCAAGATACGGTGGCCGATTCTACTACAGAAGCCGAATACATTGCAACTTGTGAAGCTACAAAGGAAGGTGTTTGGATCCGAAACTTTCTGGATGATCTTGGTATTTTCCAAGCCTCGGTAAAACCGTTGGACCTTTATTGTGATAATTCCGGTGCCATCACACAAGCCAAGGAGCCGAGGAATCACCACAAAGTCAGACACATAGATCGGAAATATCACCTGATACGAAAGATCGTAAAGAGTGGTGATGTAGAGTTATGCAAAATTCACACGGATGCAAATGTTGCGGATCCGTTGACTAAGCCGCTTCCACAACCCAAGCATGAGGGGCACGTTAGAGCTATGGGCATTCGATGTCTATTTGATTGACTCTAGTGCAAGTGGGAGACTGCTGGAGATATGCCCTAGAGGCAATCATGTATGATGATATTTCCTATGTGTTTATGAATAAAGATAGTCCTTGGACATTATCAATAATGTGTATCAGCAAGTACGTGACTTGTTTGTGGGACTATGCATTGTATGATGACTGTCCTAAAAGGTCCCTAGTCGAAAGGGCTGTGTGGACGCGCATCCAACTAGACTAGCATATGACATGGTCGATGGCTTGGTCTCACTAGCCATGGAGCATTGGATGCTAACCACATAATATGGACTCGGAAGGATCTGGTCAGATTCGACGTAGTCGGATCCGAGTCGAGATAAGGTCCGAGTCAGATAGACCCAACTATGAGACGCAACGATATGTCATCTGTGAGTCTTGAGTACAACATATATTCTATGTCCTAAGAGCATCTCCAACAGACGCCAAACGCAGCGCGCGCAAAAAACAGCTTTAACGCGCGCCCATCGCCTGGTTTGGCGCGGCGCGCAGTGCCCGCTCCAGCAGCCGTGCTAAAATGCAGCGCGCGCGCCGCTGCAGCAGCGCGCAAAAATGTAGCGCGCGCGACTCGCACAAACAATATATGCATTGGAAAATAGAAGCAAAAAGATCAAAACAAAAAAAATAGTTCAATTTCGTTTATTACAACTCAAAGAAACAATTTATCGTTCAATACAACAAATAGTGCAATTAACACAACAAATAGTTCAACAATACAATAACGAACGCACAAATCATGATGCTCTTTGTCGTTCATTCCATGCCCACCACTCCTCAATGAGATGCTTCTGAAGATCATTATGCGCTGCGGGACGTCGAATGGCATGATAGGAGGCAACAAAATGGGCCACCCTTTCAGCCCTCCGTCGCACTCGCACGGGATATCCCAAGAGCTCATACTGAGAGTAGTCTACATCTTGGCCACGCTCATTTTCAATGATCATGTTGTGCATGATCACACAAGCGTGCATTATGTATCAAAGCGGCAGCGAGCGCGCGGGTGCTGTTGGTCGGAGGACCAGCACGCGCGCGGGGCGGCGGGACTAGAGGGGGGGCGAAGAAAGCGCGCGGGGTGGGGATAGGCCGGGGAAGCGCCGGAACGGTCGCCGGGTGGCGCTGTCGGCGGCGGCGGCGTGGCTGGATGGGGGTGGAGGTGCGAGCGAGCGCGCGAGAGTCTAGCGCGCGAGAGCGGGCGCAGCAAATAAGCGGCGCGCGATTGCGTTTCGGCCCGCACGCTGGACTACGTATGCCGCGCGCGTTGTTTTTGCGCGCCCGCTGGAGCAACTATTCCGGTTGCGCGCGCGCTAAAACGGGGGATTTTGCGGCGCGACGCTAGTTTGGCGCGCCTGTTGGAGATGCTCTAATACCTAAGCTGACGCATGTACTCGGGATGATGATAGACTTGCTTTGGGCCAACCAAACGCTACTCCGTAACTGAGTAGTTATAAAGGTAGGTTTCGGATTTGTCCAGAACCATGCTGCGAGACGTGGTTGAGCAAGATGGGATTTGCCCCAACGATCAGGAGAGATATACTCTGGACCCCTCGTGTGATCCGATCAGGATAAGCATGGCCATGCGACAAGAATTATGAGATAATCCGGTTTGTGGTCGGCATCATTGGAACGAGAAAGAGGTCGGGCTAGCACAAGGATGACAGACTCGCCTTGAGCCCGACAACATATATCATGTGGCAAAAGGAATGAAAGTATGATGTACAGGTTCGCCTAACCAGCTTCATAGTCTGTTTGGTGTTCGGCATGCCTTGCTAGAAGCCGCTACCAACTGTACAGTTCGGAGGTGATCCGAACTGCTACCAAGCCGGCTTGAACCTAAGGGGTCGCGCGCTTAAGGGAAGGAACCTACGAGGTCGGATCCGAGGACACTGGTCGGATGTGATCCGAGCTGTATTCGGATTGTGGCCGAGTAGACTTATGGGCTTTAGGGTCCGTGCAAGGTCCAAGTGTTGAGCCCACGACAGACACCTATATAAAGTGGAGGTGCCGCACACTCACGCGGTTGATCACTTCGGCGTTGTCACTAGGGTTTGCATGTGTTGCGAATAGACACCTCCACTCGTCGCCGGTTGTGTGATCGGACCTAGCAGTCCGCTACACGACGTACCTCCTGCACGCGCAGATACCGTTAGAGGCGGTGCACTTGCGCCGCTCCGGCGAACCTGTACGTGGGAACCGACTACCGGCTGTACGAGGGAGATCGGACGAGGAGGAGACGATCCACGCGGACGCGCTGCCCCAACTCTTCTTCCGCTGCACGGCACTGCGCGTCTAGTGGTAACGAACTATGATCCATCTCCCGTAGCATGTTCTTGGTTGTTCTGCGTGTAGGAAAATTTTAATTTGCAGTCGAAGCACCCTACCGTAGAACCCAACAAAATGGTCAGTCGCTATCTTGTGGTTCATCACGGCAGCGCGTGCGGGCTACACAATGTGCACACCAACATTCAGTGAACGAATCAATCAACAAGTTGAGTAAGAGGAAACAAAACTTACGATCTCATCCTCTGCTGCGTGCAATGGCCACCTTGCCTCCAGTTGACGAACCACGTTATAGAACTTGGTGGCGCTAGTCTGGATAGCGTATCAGCAACATGATAACAACCTCACATCTCGTTGCTAAATGGTGTATATGCCATAGAGCCTAATGTGCTTTCGTGCATAAAACGATTCATGCATTTGCTACCAGAAGGTCCTCCCTCTGCTCCTGTCTACAAAATCTGTGGATACGGCCAACCACGCATCGCACAACAACTCATCCTCCATGGTCGAGTAGCTCGCCATCCATCGTACTCTAAGAAATGTCATAGCATTCGAAAATAAGCTCAATGGCATTTGACCCAACACCTGCCGAGCGTGGCGTCTACCATGGAGGTCGTCTAAAGGGCGCAGAGTGTACCTGGGATGCAAAAGGCTCCAGGGTGGACAATGTCGTCGTATTAGCGAGCCGGGGTGTTGGTGCTAGTTGCAGATGTCCGACAATGCCCCTATGCCGGCCGGAGACGTGCAGTAGCGGCAACGGAGGTGAAAGGTGCAGATGCAAAGTAAGGAGGAGAAGGGATTGAGTGGAATGAAATGGGACTGTGAGGGGGATTGGGTGGGCCAGGGGTGTCGGAGTCTTACATGTCTGATGTTCGGACTCCCGCAACCCCCCTCCCCACGTTGTCTCCAAGTTGCGGGAGAAAACACGTCCTAACCGCTCGGCGGACCGATACAGACTCGCGTTGGGTGGCTTTCATGGTCCGAACAACGCGATCCGGACGGATGCGAGCGGTTTGAGGGTCAGCGTTGGAGATGCCCTCGGTGAACAAAATACAATTGAGACCTTACCATTCATCAAACGATGTTTTCTAATAAAGTTTCAATTTGTCATTTTTTTAAACATCACGCGAAACTAAAGCGGTCGACTATGTATGTTATAAAAAATTTGATTGTTTATTTATTTTTCTAGTACTTTTTTGAATTTACTATTTATAAAGGGTGGGCGTGAAACCATGTTCATCAAATCCGCGTCTGTGTCCATGTCCAATGAAGGAACCACCTAGTAAGTGTTGACTAGAAAAGTTGAAAATGAATCTAAGGAATGCTACTCTTCTTCTTCCTCCTCCTCACGTTGCCGCCTAGACCGGAACCTATCTAGGTCCAGCCCTCCTCTGCATTTATGTCATGGCGAGTCGCGTCGTCACCATCTCCGGTGAGATTCGATGATGCGGTCGGTTATGGTGTCCGGTCTTGAGCTCAATCGTCGCCTAATTCAACCGGCGACCCAAACAAAAAATCTCACCCCCACCCTCCCTCCCCATCACCCCTGAAGCAACCCGGGTTGCGCTACTCTCTTTCATCGTTGTCTCTTCTATAGATAAACTGAGAAAATAGTTGCTTGAGGAATCACAATTGTGTGAAGTGAATGAAATTAGTTTTTTGAAGTTCGGGATGGAAGGGCATCTCCAAAGAAACCACCGCATTTTTTCATTTTCTGGGGACACCTTATACCATGGTATCCAAGTGAATCCCGTCTTGTCCATCAGTTTTGTTTAAATTATCATTTTTCAGTATATTTGATCCATTCCCGCCAAATAAAACAACTTGAAAAATAAATATTTTATCACAAACATTTCCACAAATAATTTTTAAAAAGCAAGCAACATAGCGTTCCAAGTTCACACAAGTTGAATCAAACATAGTCTAGTAATCAAGCACAATTTGATCGCATGATCAAATTCTGGAGTTACGCTCATTGATGTTGGTACGCACAGTATTGATCCATTTCTATTGGTTCGCCTTCATGATGGTGCTAGTGTCGGTAAACATGACCTTTGAAATCCTCGAGAAACCTTGTGAGCCTAGTTTGCTTGGTCTTTGTTGCCTTTCACCTCAACGACAACCCCCCTTCTCTCTCTCCCTCTTTCTCTCCACTTGGGTTGTATCTCCATGTAGCCGTTAAACCTTTCACCCTTCTTTTCCTCCCTCTCTTATTGCACTTGAGACCATGCATGGGAAAATATTTGTCATTCTATTGTTCTACCTATATTCAATAAACATTTTGCCAATATACACAATCAAATATAATAAGTTGCATGTATTTAAATTTTTGGTTCATGTGTTATTAATCTAAAATTTTGTATTCCATACATCTTATTGAAATTCCCTACAAAAAAATCTTATTGAAATATTTTGGTTCACCATGTGGAGAAGGGGATATCTAGTTGCTCAAGCGAACCCTTCCATCGGTGTGTGTATTTACCAGCTCCCGCCCGAAAGGAAATATTCAATTCCTCAATTCAGTTCCAAGCTTCCAGCCCTCCGGGATGGACTCCCACCACCCCTCGCCGGAATACAGCTCGCTCCTCCTCGCCGGCCCTCGTGCTGGCGCTCTGAAACAAGCTCACGCGCGCATCATCGTCACAGGCCACAGTCGCTCCCTCCCCTTCATCACCAAGCTGGCCACGCTCGCCGTCGCAGCTGGCGCCGCCCCGTACGCGCACCTCCTCGCGACCTCCCACCCCGCACCCGACTCCTTCCTCTTCTCCTCCCTCACGCGTGCGGCCGCGCACCACGGCCTCCCGGTCGCCGCTATTGCCTTCTACCGCAGCCTCCTCTCCGCCGCCCTTCCTTTCTCCAGTTTCACCTTCACCGCCGTCGCCAAGGCCTGCGCCGACCTGTCCGCCATCCGAACCGGCACGGCCATCCACGCGCACTCCATCGTCCTCGGGTTTGGCTCGGACCGTTTCGTGCTGACGTCGCTTCTTGTGCTGTATTCCAAGTGCGGCCAACTGGGTGTTGCACGCAAGCTGTTCGATGCAATTCGTGATAGAGGTGTTGTCGCTTGGAACGCGATGATTTCTGGGTACGAACAGAATGGGCTTGCCGAGCGGGGGATCGAGGTGTATAGGGAGATGCAGGCGGCGAAGGCGGTGCCTGACTCCATGACGTTTGTAGCCACGCTCTCTGCTTGCGCACAGGCTGGTGCACTGGACTTGGGGCGTGAAGTGGAGAAACGTATTGTTTCTGAAAGAATGGACATCAGTGTGTTTCTTGGCTCTGCTCTTGTGAACATGTATGCCAGGTGTGGTGTTGTGGACAAAGCTCGCAGATGGTTCGATGCGCTCCAGGAGCGGAATGTGGTTACATGGACTTCCATGATCGCTGGATATGGAATGCACGGCCATGGTCATGAGGCGATCAAGCTGTTCCATTTGATGAGACGCGAGGGGCCGCCACCCAATCATGTCACGTTTGTTGCTGTTCTATCTGCATGTGCACACGCTGGGTTAGTCATGGAGGGTCGTGATGCTTTTGACTGCATGAAGAGGATCTATGGACTGGTCCCTCGTGTCGAGCACTATTGTTCTATGGTTGATATGTTTGGAAGGGCTGGACTTCTTGATGAAGCAATGCAATTTATAAGTGATTATATGCCTGGAGAGCCAGGGCCTGAAGTTTGGACAGCAGTACTTGGGGCATGCAAGATGCACAAGAATTTTATTCTTGGGGTGGAGGTGGCTGAGCGATTGATTGCTCTCGAACCTGAGAATCCATCCTACCATGTTTTGCTTTCTAATATTTATGCTCTGTCTGGTAAAATGCACCATGTTGAGAAGGTGAGGAATACCATGATTAAGAGAAGATTGAAGAAGCAGATAGGATTCAGCTTGATTGAGCTAGGAGGTACTTCCCATTTATTTCGCATGGGTGAAAAGTCTCATCCACAGACTACAGAGATTTACCAGTACTTGGAAGAACTGATTCATAGGATTAGTGCTGCTGGCTACATGCCTGAAACTGAGTCAGTTCTGCATGAGTTAGAAGAGGAGGAGAGAGAGGGTGCACTTAGATATCACAGTGAAAAATTGGCAGTAGCATATGGGCTCATGATGAGCGTTGGGAGCACCACTCCTATCAGAGTAATAAAAAACCTGAGGATATGCGGGGATTGCCATCTCGCCATCAAGTTTATGTCAGCTGTGGAGAATCGGGAGATTGTTGTCAGGGATAAGCACCGTTTTCACCATTTTAAAGATGGCAAGTGTTCTTGTCTGGAATATTGGTAACAAACTCTCATCTGTCGTTAGGTACAGTTGCCTGGTAATAGTCACCAACAAAATAGTTTTATGGAAATGAACAACTACATTCACATACACCGCCTGTCCTGGAATTCTGCCATCAATTATCACCAGTACTAGAAGATAACCTCTTCAGGGTATTCTACTTCAAGCTGTGGGGTGATTTTGTGATACATAGTCCTGATATTGCATCAAAATACGATTGCTTACCTCCATCCATTTCATTGTCAGATGGGTCCAATGCTTCTCATTTTTCTGAACATCCACAATACCAGCGACCTACATATTTCTGAACTCCCAACATAATTTAAAGGGTCAGGATGCTGAAAGACAACAAAACAGCTCTGGTATTCTTTGCTAGCTCATCCGAAAGATTGAAGAGCGAGGTACAGTGCATGCATCCAAGTACCATTCTTATGTGGTTGGACTTTTGCTTTCGATAATTCTGTCTCGGTCCTCAATAATGCCTGCAAGGAGGGCACATCAAGTCCAACACCAGTTTTCTGAAGCAAATTCGTCTGTCTAATCCATGCAGCAGGTTGATTCTTTGATGTCCATCTGCCATGTGAATACATTTCTTATTTTCTTGTGCTCGGAGTTGATTATGTGCCTGACTCATTGTGCGCAGAGAATTATCATGCAGAAGCTGTATATAATCGACTACATTTGAAGCCTTGTTCTGAAGATTGCCCACATTGGTGAGTGGTGACTGACACCCATTAAGGTCGTGTGTAAGTTTGTAAATTGCAACTGCTAAACGGCCAAGACTAGAGGATTATTGAGTTCCATGTACCAAACTTTATGTTCCATTGAGGAATAATGAGCAAAATACACTTCACTTCAAATGGAGACTGCCCTTGTGACTCCTTGTGACTTGTGAGCACGGACTTACTTTGTCATTGTCCTTTCGGAGGTACATTATCCTTGATTCCTTGTCACTTGCATGCTACCAGCTTTCATCAGAGCAAATCAGGGCATGCCCAGCAGGTAGCTCTAGGGGCAAATTTGACAATTTTGACCTCTGGACGAAATCAATTCACAGAATGAACTGCCCGTGAAACTATTTCACTCCCCTGACCCTTTTGTGTAGCGCTCGCTACGCAGGCGCCACATCCTACGGTGTAACCCCCAGCTCGGGGGCGTTGCACGCCAGTCCACCGTGGCAGCCCCTGGGCCCGCACCCAGCAGTGCAGCGCCTCCGAGCTAGGTGCCACACATGTAATGTGCAGCGCCTAGCCGTCGGGCGCTGCACTGTGACTTAGATAGGGGCTGGGCCCCCCTCCCCCACTCCCCCACCCCACACACCCCAACCCGAGCTTTGCCCCCTCTCCCACTCTCTCCCCCTCTCAAATCCTCTC